GAATATTTATTCTGGCTACGGTTTTCTATATCTGTACGTGTTGGTAGATACCTATTTGGTAAAGAATACATCTGTACCCCTAGCACGAACCATTATCGAATTGAAATAGATTGCGAGTGCGAAATGTTATTATCAAATGTGTACTGATTTTTAGTTCTCGTTACGTACTTTGTGGCGCTGCTGTTCAAGTTTCCATACAAAATTTGACATTGACATTTAGCACTCGCAAACTATTCGAATTAATTCGTCTTTTATCTTTATATATTCACAACACCACATTTGGCATACACATTTGTACATATTAGATTACGAATTTACTAAAAATATATTTTATATCCCACTTTAAAGGTAACTAAAGGCTTTAAAGGTACGCCTCGTAATTTGTTGGCAAAAAAGTGTTTCAGCATAATTCAATTAATATTATTTGTATATTTATATTTATTAAATTACACATTTAAAAAAATACAGGGTTTTTCCTTTAAAAAATAAGTAACTCTAGATTTGAGAATATTGGAAAAAATATACTTAGTTAATCTAGACTTATTAAGTAACTAGGTAAACTTTATTAGTAATATCAAAAGATAGACAATGCTTTTTTATTAAGGGGATAGTGATTGTCATAAAATGGACACCAATCCATATCTACACTTTCCAAGTACTTTGATTCAAGTACCACTGAGTCCGATGACGATAATTATCCGGAAAATGAGACTTCATGATAAGCGATAAAAATCTTTATGTATATCGAGCAGTAATGATTAGATCAGTATGAAACAGCATTTGCGTGCATCAATGGCTTCGATTAGACCTATTTGATAAAACAGAAAACCCCACAATCAATAGCATGTTAACATTTTTTTTATATTTTCGAATGTAAATGTGATTTTTTCTCGTTGAGGTATGATTTTAATCAATATTGTCTTTGTTTTTGAACGCAATTCAAAACAAATACAATAAAAATCACAGAATTATAATTGAAACTACAGAACAGAAAAAAGTTTGATTATAACCTGTTTACGGTTTTAAAAAAAACCAAGGCATATACAAATGAATCATCGAAAATTGTCGAAAAGTTTGATGCGCATAACTTCCGAACGACTGAACAACAATATATATAATAAGTTATATACTGTGACTGAACCAAATTGGATAATTCTATTTCATTGTGTTCGTTATTGTCAGGACAATGTTTGTATAACGAAAATTTTAAAAGGTTACAGAGCAAAGTCATGCGTACAGTATTTTAAAAATAAAGTTTGTTATTTCGCCAGTAAAGCTTATTTGTTTGACATTCACTCCAAATCAGTTTCAATAGTACTAGATATGTATAGTAATCCAAGGAAATAAAAAAACTACACTATTATATAGAAATCTAACAAAAAATTTTGGATATAAAAGATAAATTATCACCCATAATTATTGTTTGATAACTTGTCAAAACGTATATTTGATCTGAATTTTCATTCGGTTGAACCAAGCCCAACTGCGTTCGAAGAGTATTTTTACTTGATGCAACTAACACTAAAGAAGATACAGCTAATGGTGTTCGATTGCCCATTCTCCCGCCGTTGTATAAAACGTGGTAATCTGATGCAATGACATAAATGTTCGTCCTTTCTCTATTAATTGACTTATTTTAAGGCAACTCTTCATCATTGAATTTGGCTACTTTTTATGTAAAATCTGACGTTAGAGTAGCAGTTGCTTCTTCTTGAATAACAACCATAGGTATTGTTAGATTTTTTTTGTAGATAATTTGAGGTGTTTTGGGAGCGCAATGATTTTAATGTCTAGAGGCTTCCGCCAAACAGTTACAGTTATTCTAAAATCGACTGCTGCCAATGAAATAAGGACTTTCCTTTATTAATCGAATTTGTGGCGCCATGTAATGAATTTTCACCTGGCAGTAAATATGAAAGTTACTAATCTAGTGTAGTTTTTTCCCAAAAAATTGCTAACTATGTTTAAAGCTGTGTTCTCCAAATTATTGTAAGCGGTACCAAGTTCGCCGGGTAGTTTATAATAATAATGCAAGATAAACTACTAGCAAAGATAAAACCACATGCATTTGAATAACTTTTACGGTACAACATCAGCTCGGTATTCGGTTAATAAACATCCAGACAGCCCGACTGCGCCAATCATGCTGCGCTAAATTTCACTTTTGAACCCTTGATAGAAAAAAAGTGTTTAGTTTTCCAATCTCGCTAAGACTTTCTACAAAGAGAAAATGAATATTAGGGCAGTATCAAGATGTTTAATAGCTAGCAACAACATTGTTAGAGAAAGATTTTGCGAAAACAAAAAAATAATATCCTCAAGTGTATACAAACTAGATAAAAGACATCGTGCATTTGATGTCCTAATAATGAAGATGTCATTGTATTTTTTAGACAGCTTCATTCAAATTAAGATCACATTTATCAATTAACAACCTTTTAAAAAATAATGCTTTGCTGTAATTTTTTTCTTTAAATTTCTGGTTATTTGGTTTGTCACTTAAGAGCTTAATGAAACATCTGTGGCACATAAAATTGCTTATGAACCTAGTTATGCTAGAGTTCGCATTCCAAAACAGAAGCAGCAAAATAGTATCAGCATTTTCTATCAAGGGTATAAAATTATTCTGTAACAGCCGTCGCCGCTAGCATTATGGCCGAACTACACTTATCTGTCGTGTTGTGTTGTGACGCATCAGAGAGCTATATGTTTCATACATTTGGTATTTTTAGAGTGAGAAAGGTGCGATACACAAATATAGTTCTAAACATACTAAATGTATGAAACCGATCGCGTCACAACTCAACACGTCAGATAAGTATATTTCTGCCTTTATTCACCTACACGCGAGTGCTGTTCCCGGGCGGCGCAGGCCTCACCGATCTGGAAGCACGTCAGTCATACAACATTTGCAAAAATAGACTCTCAGATTAGACTCACTAAACGATTTTTACACGAACGATTCATTGTTGTACTATTAGCGAGTCACTTCTTTGTTGTACTATTCGCGAGTAATTTATTTGTTGTACTATTCGCAAGTGGAATTCTTTGCCCTGTTTTCCTACGATCTTGAGCCCTTTAAAAGGGAAGTGATAAAGCATTTTGTACATTGTTCAGGTCGGCAAGGTAAGGATGGTTGGTGTGTCAGTTCATAACTGCTGCTATTTTCACGTCTGGACTTTCCCACCACTTAACATCAGGGGTGTAGAGTCTTTTGCCTACCTATCTATAAAATAATCCTTATGTTTATATAGTTAAACTTAAGTAACTCAGTTGCGATACGAAATTTAAATTTCCGTCTGAGGATAAACTTCAGGAGATAAATCTTTGATGTTTAGTGGTGGCAAGTACTTCTCCCAGTCCTGCAATATTTTTTTCACGAAAATTCCTTGCTGTTGAATCGCTCCATTGGTCTTTAGAGTTAGAAAGATTTTAAAACACCTGAGATGTCTGCTAGCGTTGAGGTGAGCAAGTTGGTACGATGGACTCAACTGGACCAAATCTTAATGTAGGTATGTAGAAGTTTGTTATCAAATTTAATGACTATCCAGGGCCAAAGTCAAACAATAATTACTCTCACTGAGGGCACTATTTTGGGAATTTATATTTATTGGCATTTAATTGGACGTAAAGCATGTTTTGTTTTCCTGCACGTATGCTAGTCGTAGTAGCTACGTCCAGCATACTCACTGAACAAGGCATATATCTCTGGAAATATTAAAGCACCGATTTATTTTTTTGTCACTATTTGGCAATATTTGGCCCCTAGTTTTTGACATATGAACTAAAGATAAACTAGCATATATAGATTTCTCACACAGAGGTGAGTATGCTGGGCGTAGGTAGGTACACTTTTGTTTGAGAGAGATGTGGTTAGTTTCAAAGCCGTCACCATATTGTGTGGACCCTTAATTAGGCACTACGTTTTTCAATGTGACTGCAGAAACCTGATTGAACATAATGAAAGCGTGCAATTGTGGACGCTCAAATATTGCATGCGATGAATAATCAGACTTAGTATAGTGTAATAAGCGATTGTGTAGTTTTAGTGTGCTGCCTAGGTAGACTCTAAGCAGTCACAAGTTCATATAGATACTTGCATCTCATAGGTCTAGTCCATGAGTACTCAGGACTGTAGACACAGGTCAGCGGCCAAGCCGAAGCATTGCCGTCCCACGTACAATCACGTCTTAAAATAGGATGAGCACAAGTAAAATTCAATCTTATCGCGATCAGAGTAAGGTATATTTAAACTGATAATGACTTATTTTTAGACGTGATTCTGCACATACTCATTTTGAAAGACAGACAGTCTATAACTTTGAAGTGACCGAGCCAACTAAATGTATATTACCTATTTATTATATTATGTTGGTTTCGCCAATTTTTTTTTGTAAATAGGTCTGACAAATGACTTCACCCCATTAAAGTTAAGTGGCGACGGAGTCCAGACGCAAAGATACCTGGTACAGCAGTTCTATCTGCCACACCAGCCATCCATGCCTTGCCGGCCTGCAAGAATGACCGAAATTGACGCTTCTCATCACGTTGATTGAATTTTGTAATAGTCAAGCCAATTAATTGCTACTAAAATGTCCTTTAGGCCTGCTGATTACAGTAGAGTCTTCTAATTTGCTGGAGGTTGTTCAGCCAAACTAATCCTAATGTTAAACCTAAAACTTTGCATTAGAAAGACTGATAGTAAGACAGACTATGTGCCCACCTCTACAGCTGTTTTTAAACCGCGTTTAGAGTTCAAAGTACAACCCCTTATCATCATGATAAAGGTCTCTTTAAATACAGCTGCAGCTTGCAGCTCAACAAGACTACTATATATAACAACGGATAATTATTGCTGACAGGTATTTTATTTTTCATTATGATTGAGCGTATTTATGTACTATCTATGAATTTGATTTTCCTTATTGAACGAAGTTTTCAAATATGTTTTTAGATTTTAGTTAAAAAATTAACAAAAAGAAACATAATGACAATGTTACCTGAAAGTCCTCCAGATGTCGAAGCACATTACGTTAAGCCAGAAGAAGCTCGTCTGGAAGAAGTAGTACACGAAAAAAGCTGCAACAAACAAAATAAATATTGTTATTAAATTTTTTCTTATAATTCTACTCATGACAGGAAAAACTGTGTAGATAAAGGTGATGAAGGTCATAAAGTTACTTATCGGAAAAATAAAAAATATAAAGGTCTCAAATAAGGAATAGAAGTTGGTTTAAAAAACCAATAATAAAGCCACGGTTACCTCATAGTATTGATAGCTATTATAAAAAGTCAATATTTCTGAAAAAAACAAAACAAAACAAAAAAGATATGTACACAACAAATGTATATATAAATCCTCCTCCTTTTTTGTTTCAAGACAGTTAAAAATCAGCAATAGATAAGAAACTATTTGGGCATTTGAAGTATGTTTTATTTTTATTTTATTGTGAAATTAGCTAAATAAGCACCCATTTGGTTTTTCCTTTCTTTTCGATTATATATTTCAACGCTTAGGTACGCTTAGTTCCAAGATTAATCTTATTTCCATTGTATGTTGTTTAACAAATATACAAGCTATTTTTGAAGTTAGCTTTGTGGTTCCGGCTATCACTCTGTTAGTTTTTTCGACCTCAACGTTAATTGAATGTTGGTTACACGTCCCGGTAATTTGACTGGACTAGCAAACTCCATTTCTCATGTATACACACTACGTTTGCGGACGCTTTGCAAACAAATTGAATACCACTTCGATGGTAATGGACATTTTTCGTTGATTACTAACTATAAAAAGTCATAACTTAGATTGCGAAGACGAATAAATAAATATTTCAAAGTAAGCTCTGTAAGGCTTGTGTTATGGGATACTAGGTTAACGGATAGAATACATATATTGTGAGTATATATATATATATATTTATACAGAAATACATATTAAACATCCATGGAGTACAAATACTCGTATTCAACACACAAACCCACACCCCCACCGGGACTCGAACCCGGGGCCTCTCGAGTCGGCGACACCATGAAACCCGGCGTACAAACCACTCGGCCACGGAGGTCGTCAAATATTAAAGTAGGCTTTAACTTAATTTAATTGTTCTCAGATCTTGAAATAGTAGTCGTTCATTATTATGAATCTCATGGGAATCTAACATTCCGCGATAAAAAGTATTATCAGCCTACGCCAATTACTGGTAATAAACTATCGGCGCGTAAAATCAATCCTAATCGGTTCAGCCGTTATTGCGTGATTGAGTAACAAAACTACAAACTCACATTAACGATATACGTAGACCCAGAATTCACATTGGCATAAATTTATATGCAAAAATCTAGTGTCATTCGTTTATTAACAAATACAGTGTTTCGTGGAAAAAATACCACACATATTCATGGAAATATTTCAAACAGCTCACTTCTAAAGTTAAAAACACGCAACCACGATATTGAAGGAAAATGTCACGGTCACACCTGCAATAGGTATGACTGGGTTAAAATTTCTTTGTTCAAATTAGAAAGAAAGAAAGAAAGAAAATTTATTAGCCATAAACATAGTCATATTTAACATAAAAACAATCCAAAATCGGCCAACTAGGTCCCTGCCTCAGCTTAATACTACAGCAACAACAGGGCTGCTGCAGCGCTGATGATTCTGGCAGGGCCTAAGGTTGATGACACAGATTTTTTTAAATTAGAAACATGTACAGTCAGCTTCATAAAGACGTTGTATGAAGGCTGATTAAAGTAATCTAAGGTAGGTACACAAATTTAAACCTACATTTTAAGAGAAAGAAGTTTAGAGCACTGCAACATCTTTCCCTCCCATAGTCACACCTCACACATAATTAATCAGACCTCAACGACACCACAATGTTCATGTCTAAGATGTTGTTCTGAGACCTAAAGTTTTCGAATACGACTAGAGCTTGGGCTATCTGCACTAAGAAACTAGTGCCGTGTTCTGTTTTTTTCTGTCACTTCCAGTCAGGTATATGATGTGTAGATCGTAGAGTTTAGGGTCTACATCAGAAGTAATGTCTGCTTTTAATATAGTAAGGAAATTCGACATTTTACGCCTACATATCTTGTGGTATTTACTCTTATGTAATGAAAGACTTATTTGTGTTTATATAACGAAAATATCGTGATCCTGCTAACGATTGCAGATGCAGCCGGGACCAACAGCTTCCAACGTGCCTTCCGCAGCACAGAAGAGCTTGATATAATAACTTTATGGTCATCCACCCAATTATTAACCATTGCGAAAGTTGCTTATATTTCACGATCCCAAGCCGAGTGTGCCAACCACCTGCGCTATGGAGCTTTTTTATATAGTACCTTAATACAAGGCACAGCAAATTATTATCTGGCCCTGAGAGCAGGAGTTTGATGACGCAGTAATTAAGAGTTCGTTCTAACAATCTTGGTAGAAGCAACTTTAACAATAGCGATATTAGTGACAAAAAGCTACCTATGAGATCACGAGCTCTTCCGTGCTTCGGAAGGCACGTTAGGTTATTGGTCTCAGCTGCATCGGCAGTCGTTAGCGCCTATCGGGCTAAGCCACCACGCTGGGCAATGGCGCATTCTCCCAATTTCAACCATTAGAAAGACCTTTCAAAGTGAAACTTCTTTTCGGAAGGAGTGTAAATGGTAAAATCCTATGCAAAATATGAAACGGAAATGCAACACGCGCGTCACACGACTATTTATACATATATCCATCCCACATGCGTGCGCAGCTCTTCCATGCTCGTCGAGCATGAAAGTTAGAGAGTAATTCAAAAACGAAAAAAGAATTTCCCGATATATTTTTCCCGCGTACCGCTTCAACAAAGTGCGGCATCTCTTCAGTCTCAGGTCCATTAGACGATTCATTGTATTCAAACGATGTCCTATTTTTCTTCGATATGCCCGAAGCCCTAAGTCTTCATTTAACACCCCATATGAAGGGCCAACAGTTTCTGCTTAAGTTTGGGATTTCTTTGAATTCGCGCCTTCATAGCTTTTATCACTGCTGGAGTCCTAACAGACCGAGGGCGACCACTTCTTGACCTGTCATCTACACTAGAGTCTTCATTGTATCGTTTAATGGTACGATAAACGAATCTTTTGGTTATATTCAAAATTTTCAGTCCGCAACGATGCAACGCAATAACTGCAACACAGTCTTCTTTAAGCATCCACTCCATATTTAAAAATGAGTAAAATTCTAAAAAGTATACATTTTTATTTTCATGAACAGTTCGAAATTCGAATACAATAAACTTTTTAGTGGCCAGCATTCTAAAAAAAAAAGATTTTACTGTGTGACAATACTTATGACCTGACTGTGTATATGAATGATGCGTGCGCTGCTCCATTCCCCTTTGCCTTGTGCATCGCCTAATGTTAGGTTATTTAACAAAAGAAGTTTCACTTCTTATATGTGTTTCGTGCACACTATTTTTTTATGTCTGGGAAATGTCCTTACGCATCCTTCAACCACCGGGAGAGCAAGAAGAAGGTATCTTTGGATTCCTTCATGTCCATTTCTGTAGCTCTAGAACTCGATCAGAACCTTATGCAGTAAAATTATGCTACCGTGATCTTAATGGCCATGTCGAATTCCTTTTTTGCATTGGTCAGTGCATCCGCCCGGACAGCGGAGGATGTGGGTTCGAGTTCCGTCTGCTGCCACGACCGCGGAAAATATTCTTTAGATTTAAACATCTAGCAGTTAAATAATAAATATCTATTTTTATTTTAATATATTTACAAGAAACTGTAAAATACCTGAAATTATGCTAGCAAAATTTCTTCCGATAAAAATAGCGCGAATTAAATACTTTATTACTTTAGCTACACTGCAGCAAAATGTTACAAGTTACAGGGTAAGTAAGCCATATTTATGAAATAAAATACCCACATAATTTCCCCGCTTCCAAGGATAAAAGGGTACGCACACATTTAACCTACACATATGAAAGAGGAACATAAATATTTTATTATCTAATTTCCGTTTGACTTACTGTTATTTATTATTATGCTAATATGGGGCCTACAGTTAGCGTATAAACAGGTTGTTTATAAGCTTTTAATTATACGAAGCGTTGCTAATTACACAATTCACTGACACGCCCTGAAAGCAGTTCTTCCAAATTAGTTTGAGTGTTATTAGTGATAATGTTTTAGTGACTAATGAATTTTAGAGGTTGCATTTCGTCAGAGCTATGTCGGTAGGGAGGGTGTGGTTTGTTTATGCCTCTGAAGCTATTATTCAATGTTCATAGAACACATTACTGGGAAACGTAGTCGTATATTACAATTATACTTCTGTGATTCGCCCTTCGAGATTACATTGACACACTTGTAGTAGCACGCATTATGTGCTGCCATCGTACACAATTTTAGAGCAACATTAACCTTTGCCTAAAAAATATAACAAAAAAAATATAAAATATGCGTTCGCACTGGGGGTAACTCCACATATTCATACACGTTTTGTGTCGCGGCCATCGTGCACGTAATTTTGCGTTTGCGTTTAATTTATTTAACTTTTATGTAATAATGTTACTTATTTTTTTATATTTAAAGTGCGAAAAAAGTGTATACAGGACTTTAAATATCTGAATATTAAAGATTTGCGCAAGGTGGAAAATTAAAACCAAAAAGAAGTTTGTTGGATTCACACTCAGAGGTACTTACATTACATAAATCTTTAAAAATACAAAGTTCAAGGTGAAATTAAACAATACCAAGTACCTAGTTGCTATAATCCGATGGAATCATCATCTTCCAAAAATCTATTTACATCTTGTAAAGAGAATTATTAGATTGTAAACTATATTCCTTTAACATGTTTAGTGATGCGAACAGCACAATGGGGCTGTTTCCTTCACGTACTTCGACATTACAGAAGTAATGACATCAAATATAACCCTTCGACTTATTTTGTGATGCGAGCAGTACATGGGACTGTTTCTGTCACGTACTCGGACACTATAGAAGTAAATAACATTGAATAAATTGTGCAACGTAAAACATGATGCAAAAGCCTTTTGGAATTATTAAATTCATAAAAATACACTTTT